GAGATGGTGGTGCTTCTTTCCATGAGAGTCTTTCTCTTCTTCCTTTGTCTCTTTCTTCTCATGATGCTCATGGAAGGCAAATCCACCAGACCCAACTGCAGCTGCTGCAGCAACCTCCTCCTCTATCTTGTGCCTGTGGGCTTGCTCTGGGTCTTTCCTTTCCCTGTGCTTCTCATTCTGCACATCAGATCATGATCATTATTAAATTAAATAAGAGTTAATTAATTAGGGTCTGGTATTTTAATTGTATTATATGTCTCAGCAGGACCATTTGTTAAACGAAAATATCTTTATAAGAATTTCTGGTTGTGATCCTTCACTTTTAAGAACGATCACACTGCACAAGTACTACATTTATAAATAATAAATAACTATAGCTAAGATCATGAATAAAATCAGAAGATTGATATATAAAAGGTGGTTTCATACCAGGGCAAAAACACCAGCAGCAGCAACCCCGCCCTCGCCTAGGTGCTCAAGATTCTTGTGGTGCTTCTCCTCCTTCTTGTAGTCAATTTCAGATTCATGAGTTGCAGTGACGACATATGCAGCGGTCTCATTGTGGCGGCTGCCGCGGGGTCCATCATCGGAGTAATCAGCGCTCTTGCCAAAGCCACCAACACCTCCGGGACGTCCTTCATCAGAGTAACCAGACTGAGGGTAGTCTGAGGTTTCAATGGGTCTGTCTTCATCCTATCCTTCTTGTGGGGGAAGAGGCCACTCTGGTGCCTCTCTTCAGACATGGCGGGGTATTTCGGGAATTATATGGAAAATGGGACGATGGAAAGCAAGATTATTATGAGAAGAAGAGGTTTTGTGATAGTGTGAGGCAGTTGGGTGCACGGTGGTGGATATTTATAGGGCTTCTTAGATCTGGGTCCAAAACGATTAGCTGTCATTGGGTTTAGTCCTCACTTTTTTGGTTTTAGATGTAGATCCTTTGACATTTATTACTTTTTTTGTTGTGTCGATTTTACCCTTTGAGGTGAATAAGGAAAACACATTGAAAATCTAAATTTAATGCATTATTTCCTTATAATTGAATTCCAGAATTTAAATTTTGAATTTTTTCCTTGATAATATTCATAATATATGGATAAAATACAATTTAATCAATAAAAAGTAAAGACCCACATATTATACCAATCGATCAGACAAGCACCCACATTAAATTATGTACATGACATACAGGTAAATAGTGTTATTATTAGCAACAAATAATACTTAATAATAAATCATGTTACCTATAAGTTAGGAACATAAATTAGAAGACTACTTATAAGTCAAATACAAAAATAGACAAAATAAAAATGTATGTTACCTATAAAAAAAAAGGTACATAAAATACTATTACACATTGTCGAAAATATGAAACAACATATATATACCTATGCCATAGGCAATAGGAAATATGACATAATTGATTATTACCCGATTCAAGTCATAAGGGGCAACATTGGAACAAAAAATGATTTTAAAAATAAAATAATAAAAAGATTACATCAAAAAATATTCTAAAATGAATGTAATTCTATGTGGCACAAAAGTCAAAGGACTTGGATCAAAGTCACCAAATCTGAGGATTAAACCCAACTCCTCAATAGGGATTTGGATATATATCAACTTTTCTAGTATTTTTATAAGTGTGCTGGTGCCCAACTTCTTTTCCTCAGCTCTTCACTCTTTCCTGTCACATGCTCAAATATAACCTTATGTTAAAAATGGTTTGATTTTTTTAAGGAAGGGGAAAACTTTATCGATGTCACATCTACAATTTATCATCGTAAAACAAACATTTAAGAGAAATCACATCTCAAAATTTTCAAAATTGTCATGTGTGTTGTACATGCCACATATTCTAACTTAGGAATTTTGAAAAATCAAAATAACATATCTCTTAAAATTTTCTTTGAGTGACAAATTGAAATTGGTATATAAGTACAAATGACATTATAAAATTTTCCCCTAATAGTAAATATCTTAAAGTTGGACACTCTTACTTTTGTCACGTGCCATACCTTGGTGAACGATTAGGATTTGTTGTCCTCTCTCTCTAAATCGAATGTAAAGTGATAGGTAGATACCTATCTA